TAACTGCTTAATCCAACTGCTGTCCTTGTTGACACCCTGCTTCCCCCAACCCATTTTATAGATGGTAGAAATGAAGATCTGAAAAAGGACATGTTATGTGCTATGTGGTCTTGCCTGGTCAGCACAACATGACCACAGGCCCTTGCTCCCCTAGGTCCTCTCCTTCCTGCTCCTGGGCCTGATGTCCATGATGATTCCCCTGTGCCGGGACTTCGGGGGCCTCATCGTTGTCTGCCTCTTCCTGGGCCTGTGCGATGGCTTCTTCATCACCATCATGGCCCCCATCGCATTTGAGCTGGTGGGCCCAATGCAGGCCTCACAGGCCATTGGCTACCTCCTGGGCATGATGGCCCTGCCGATGATTGCTGGGCCCCCCATTGCAGGTGAGGTTGATTTCCAGGGAGGGCATGAGTCAGAGACCTGTTTTCCATAGGCTCTATCTCTGTTTAAGGTCCCCTTTCCTCATATTTTCTGCATAAGCAGCCTTGTCAGAGTGCATGAAACCCCTTACCACCATTGGTGAAGGAGATTAAACACAGTACACAGGCATGGATTCATTTGGGGGGGATGGGTTTTCCATGGTGGTGTTTCAGTGGGGTTTTATTATAGTCAGCATGGCTCCTTCCAGGAAAGTAGAGGGAAAAATGGGTTTGACCTTCTTGACCATTTTATTTGTCCAGTGTTCTCTTGCTCTCCTCACAGTTAAGTGATTATTTAAGGTAGCTGAGTAAAAGAGGTAGGGAAAAAAAGAAAGCTGGCCCTAGTTTTATTAAAACTTTGAGATGTCCTTCTCTTCCTCCTCCTCTACTGGCTTAAGAATTAAACTTATTAAGGAAACACCCCAAGACTGAGCCAGTGAAGTTCACCTCCAGCAGGCAGCAGGCAAAGTGCTGGTGTGCTATTTTTCAGCACTCCTAGTTTCCCCCTCCATCCTCCCAGGAGAGCACTGTTGGTAACCGAGGGAACATACGAAATAAGAAACCCAATGAAAAGAGAAGTTCATTTCCTTTCTAGGGATTTATTACAAACACTGATTCATGGGTTAGCCTCCCCTAAGTTGGTCAAATGGGCTAATTCAACAAATACTCCTTGAACACCAATTATGTACAAGGTGTTGTGAGGGTGCCATGTGACAGTGGCAAAAGGTTTCATTCAGGCTCTTGTGCAACAGTCACACTGCTTACTGGGGGAGGGGAGACTCTATCCAGTCCCTGATGGCAACAGTGGTCCAGAATCAACAACTCTTTCCTTTTTGCTTATCTCCTGAGTAAGCAAAGGGACAAGGGCATCCTTGCCTTTGCTTCTGGGCTCATCCTCCTTATGAGGTAGCTCATGTTAGCTTCTGGAGGTGAACAGGAAGAGGCCTTGCATCCCATGCCAAACACATCCATGGTATTGGCAGCTTAGAGGAAGCCAGAGGGGCCAACCATATCTATAACTGAAAAAAAAAAAAAGACTTGTGTGACTTCTTCCTAGGGGAACTGGAACTTCAGAGAAAGGGAACCTCAGAGAAAAAGTAAATAGGGACTCAGCTAAATTGTTCCACGAGAATAAATGGGAGTAGGGGTGGGGAATATCACTGTGAACAGACACAAGGCTTGGCCTTCCTTCCTTGGAATTATTTTAAACTAGATTCCCTCCTAACACCATCCCTAGGAATGACTGGAAGGTAGCTATAGCTTGATGAAAGTTACAAATGTGGAAATCTTAAGAGGGGCTTCATTCTCTCCTTCCATAATAAGCATTTAGCTCAAGGGCCCATAGCCCCATTACCTCAGGGAGGAACCACTTGCCTTTAAGTTGAGGGAACTCCCAAGTCAAGACAGTGCAGGCCAAGATTCTCTGGATAAGCACTGGGATGGCCCCTAGAAGAGGCAGAGAGCAATTTTGGGTGGTAGGGAAAAGCCGAGCTTGACTTGTGTCTCTTGACTGTTTCAGGCCTCCTCCGCAACTGTTTTGGGGACTACCATGTGGCCTTCTACTTTGCCGGTGTGCCCCCCATCATTGGGGCTGTAATCCTCTTCTTCGTCCCTCTCATGCATCAAAGGATGTTCAAGAAAGAGCAGAGGGATTCCAGCAAGGATAAGATGTTGGTCCCTGATCCAGACCCCAATGGGGAGCTGCTGCCAGGCTCCCCAAACCCTGAGGAACCAATCTAATGCCTCTTTCTTGCCATTGTGTGCTCCTCCCCAGCTCTTCCCCTGCTCAGCATTTACATTTTTTTGCCACCAGCACACTAGTTCCCAAACCTGTGCACACAGCATTTCAGCCACCTGACCACCCCCTTGGAGCCAAAGCTCTAGGTGTTCCAAACTCATTAACCAAATTTTCCCCATGAATGCCTTCAAACTTGCCAGGGCCCTTCTCCCAGGAACTGGGAAAGCTTGAGATTTCCCCCTGGCCTTTGGAACCTCTCCATATACATTCTAACCCCTGGGGGAGGAGGATGATAGAACCTCCAGGCCCCAGCTTGTTAGTCGCCCACTAAAATTAACTGCCAAAGGTGCTACTGTGTCCCCAGGAGCCTAGTGGGAGAGACTCAAGCCTCTGATTACTGAGAAATTTATTGCCATTCATCCTTGGAAGCCATTTGGGTGGTGGGGGAAGGGAGGCAGAATGAGACAAGGAGCCTTGTTTAGTCTCACAAGTTCCTGAGGTCTGTGGCTTCCCGAGAGCTGTATACAGGTAGTATCCCCATGATATGGTTGGTTAACAGTCTGCTTCTCTCTTCCTTTCCTTTGATTTTTCTCTACTGCCTCCTTTCCATTCTTTTCCCTCTCTGTTTCTTTTTATGATTGTCACAGATTCATAGGTGCTTGGAGAAAGGAGGGACCCAAAGCTTGGGCCAATCAGCCTCATATTGGCTCAGTCCAGCCCTAACACTAGCATTAATCCCGTTCATCTCAGGCTGAGCCTCATCTCACTTTTTGGCTCAAGCTGATATAATCATAGACTGGAAGAGTAGAATATCACACAGGGAAAGGACCTTAAACACCACAGAGTTCCATGTTCCACCCACTGTTTTTTACAGATTTTCCAAGTCAATGCATTAACCTGGAGGCCTTCCCAGTCCCCCATCCTTGTATCCACCTGTCAAATGTGAATAAACTCCTTTCATCTCAGCAGGCAGAGGAGGACTAAGGACAGTGAGCTGGCGTGGTGCATGGAGGGCCAGTGGCTATTGACATAGTGAAAGACCAACTCCTCCATCTCTTAGTTTTCATGGCAGGTCAATATTTCCACCTGGCCACGACAGGAAATGGACTGTTTTAGGAAAAACCTCATTCAGAACCTGGATCCCCAAAGGTACAGGCAGCAGCTGCACACAGGGTTGGACACTTTCTTTTAGGAAGGGGAAGCCACCCTAGCTTTTACCACCAAGTGTTTCCCCCATGCTGGACATCCTGGGCCACTCTGCTTAGTGGGCATTAATGGTGCCAGGAAAGGTAGATTCTGGACCACCTTCTTCCCTCTGAAGTAGGTACCAGATGCTTCCCTATACCCAGGCTCTGTGCAACAATCTTACTGAAGAGCATTCCAGGTGCTCCTGGCTAGGGGCAGAGGGCTCTGCCAGGCTGTGTCCAGGTAGCACAGCTCACCTCATTAGGAGCTCAGCCTCTCTCTTTCCTCTGTCTTTGTGTCTCTTTCTCCCCTCTCTGGGCCTTTGTTTATTGTGTTCCTGTCACCCAACCTTTCATCATCTTTTTTGCCAGGCACCCCTGGCTGTCACTTGGAGCCAATAGTAATTTGCCACCCTAAACCAGGGTCATCCTATGGCCAGGAGGATGAGGTTGCCCTGAGGGGCTCCAAAGAAGACAATGGTCCCCACACATGAATTTTTCCGTTACAAACAGGCAGCTGGGGCATGGTTGGCCTCTGAAAGTTTCATTCAAGGCCAAAGTCTGAGCCCCCCCCCCCAACCTCTGCTGGTCTTAGTCCAGCTCTTATCAACTCCCTGAAGGAAAATCCATTGGTTCTTGGCTCTGTAAGTAGGAAAGGGCCTAGTTAGTAGCCTGTCAGCTCAAACAGCAGTGGAACAGGAGAAGATGGACTGCAGGAGCCCTGTAACTCCTGAGAGAGACCATTGGAAATACTAGAGCAACAATGCCCCTGCTTCCATTCCTCCCTGCCCCGCCCCCACTGAGATGCTGGAGGGTGGTCCTGCAGGGCCTCCTTTGTTGCTCATGACTGGATAGCTTTTAAAAATCAGGCTGCCACCCACTTCTCTCCAGTTGAAGGAAAGATATTCACAGGTCCCAAATCTGCCTATTCAGGTGTCACTTAACATTGACAGGGTGTCAATTTACTTCTTCCACACATGTGCATGTGCATGTGTGGGCTTGTGTGCTTTTGGAGAGAATTGTTGGTTGGCAAAAGCAGCACAGTATTAATATTTAGAGTAGGATGCAGCCTCTTAAGCACCACAGTTAAACCTAGGAGAACGAACAAAATTTCAGAGCTTGAGACCTGGGACATTTAAATCCTCAAGGGGTTTGGAACAAAATAAACAGATCTAAAAGTTTGGTTTTGGTATGGATGTTGCCTACAAGGGTGAAATAGTCAACCTGGTTAACAGCAGGAAGTTTGGCTTCAGAACTGAAGCCTCATTCCAAATCAGATTTCTGCCAGGGTCTGTGCTCTCTGAAAGAGCGGACATTTGAAAAGGAGAGGAGCTATATAAGGCTTTGGGTTTGGGTGGACTGTTTGAAACTTCATTTTCTAGGGAGCTCTGAAGTGGAAAAGTGGCTACTTTACAAAATGAGAACATGGTTACTGGCTGAGTCAGAGTAAAAGCCTGCCAAGGCCACCACCTTGCTATAAATGTGCCTTCCTGAAAATTGGCAATGACCTTAGCAATATTACAATTCAACCTCTTCTCTCTCCCTTATTGGTAGGGAACCTGAAGAGAGTAGTCTAGCTGGGTTACATAGCCCTACAGTGACAGCCTGGAATGGAGGGTGATACAGCAGAGAGACCTACAAGAATGACAAAACTAGGAGTAAACTTAAAGTCTCACTTGTCCATATTCTGCATTGAATTTAAGTGGGGAAATTGAGGCCTAGAGAAACGAAGGGCCTGCTGCAGGTTCACACAGTTCATCAGAACAAGACTTGAACTCAGGTAATTAACTTCCAGTCCAATCCAAACCCCTTGTTTGCTAGATGAAGACACTGGCCCTAGAAAGGAAAAAAGGAGTTGTCCACTTCACTCAACCACACAGAAGCCCATTTCTAAAAGGGTGTCAGCAGGACCAGCTCTTAGTGGAAATAAAAGCTGAGCAGTGTGACTCTCAGCATACCCCATTGCTTCACAATTACTCTCATTCCCAATCTACACAAACTTTTGGTTTCTCCCTCCCATTCATTCTAGACCTTCAGGAAGCCTTGGCCTTGGAAGCTTCTTTCCACCAACTGCCTTTCTACTCTGAACACCAAGAGCAACGAATAAAATCCGTCTCCTTCTGGCTGTGCAATGGCCAAGACAGGGACAAAGAGAAGAGACTGGCTTTCTTTGGGAGTGGGTGGTTTACCACCCAGTTCTTAGCTATTGCTGTTTCTCCTCTGCTTAGTGCAGACACCCTCAGGCTGCCGGCCTCCTCATCTCCTCCCACTGAGGCTAATTACTTTGTCCAGCTGCCAGGCCTCAGGCTCTCCCACCCAAGATCTGCTGCCCCTCCAGTCCCTCCCCCAGCAGCCCGAAGAGCTCAGTCTGTTTGATCACTCAGGATCGTTAGATTTCAAAGCTGTGGAATCCCATAATTTTTATGAGCATATGCTCTCCTCCAGGGCCTTTTCATGTCTGAAAAGGCAGCCAGCAGCTCCCTGCCACTTCTCCACAGTAGCACAGCAAGCCAGCTGACGGGGATTACAAATCCCGGGTGTCTGACAGCTGGTGCCCCATAGAGTGAGACTGGTTAGAGTAAGAACACTTGAAACAAGTTCTGCAATTGTAGCAGAGACCCCAGAGGAACAAGGAAAGGGATTAGATACCCAGGAGGTTGAGGAGGCTGTTCTTCAAAGGCCCTTGATTCCTGCCTTTCAGCTCTCTCTAGTGGTCATCAGATACAGAGCTCCAGGCCTGGTTGTCATGTCTTTTCAGCAGTATTTCCTAAGAACCTGATGTGTGTCAGGCACTGCTAGAACCCAGGGACTTCAGAAATGGAAAAAAAAAAAAAAAAAAAGAAAAGAAACAGAATTAGAGACAACAATGTGAGGCAACACAAGAAGGAATTTGTACTATCATTTTTCCAAAATATCTTCCTCCTCTGGGCCTTAGTGTCCTGGAGTATTATCACCCCCCACCCCCGCCGTCAAAACTCGGTCTACTTTGGGGCAGAGAGGGGACACCACGCCCCCACTCCCACCGAGGCGGGCGCGTCCCCTCCCCCCTGTGCTCCCCGAGACTGGCCTCCCGGGGGCCAGAGTCGCCCGGAAGAACAAATCTAGCTTCAGCGTCGGTTTCCTGCTGAGCCAGAGCCGGATAAAATTAGCCCATTGCTCACATCTAACAAGTGTCACAGCCGCGTCCAGCTGGGGGAGGGGAGGCGGAGCCAGCCGGGCCTCTTTCGCGCCCTCCGGGGCCAGTGCCACCAGCCGACTGGCAGCACCTGTCGTGCGGCCCCTGCCCAGGGCCTCCTCGCTCCTCTGCTCCTGCCAGAGACCATGGCCCCAACCGACCTAGAAACCCGCGGGGCGACCCTTGCCCCCCTTTCCTACCCACCACACTCCCGCTCTATTTGCCCTCGCAGCATAATCGGGATCCAGGGGTGCTAATCGGTACCCTTCCCCCCCCAGGTCCCCTGGCCCGCCCCGCACTCTGGGGATGCCTGGGATGGAGACGGGGCTGGGGACCCCGGCTATGGCTCCTGGTCTTGTCGCCGGCTTCTGGTCATGTTGGGAGGGCAGCGGGGGGTGCACGGGGTTGCTGCCCCTCGGCGGGCCTCTCTCCGTTCCCCCATCGGGGAGGGGTGACCACCCGGGAGCCGCGCCACGGAGACGCATCTGCCCCTGCTACTCAGACGGGAATCCGGCCCGCCCAGGGGCAAGGGGGCGGGAGAAGGGCAGGAGGAGCCAGTCTCCGCGCGCCAACTGGCCCGAGGGCCCGAGGGGTAGACGGCAGCTGCCCGCTAGCCCGGGCTCTGCTCCTCCCGCTCCCCCACCGCCCGGCTCGTGCCACCGCCACCAGTGGCTGCAGCTGCAGCGGCGACGGCGCCCCAAACTCACCCCCGCCAGCAGGGCGACTACTACACGAGGCGCTCCCCTTGGGCCCCTGAGAGCCCCTTCCGAGGGCCTCCCTCCTCCCTCCACCCGAAAGCGCCGTCCCCAAGGCCCCAGGGGTGAAGTCTGGCCGCTGCTAGCGAAGGGCCTACGTGAGCCCAGGCTCGAGGCCGCCAGGATGAGGGGCCTGGGGGCGGGGACCGCCCGGAGGAAACGCTCCTGCCGTCCTCTGCCCTCCTTTCCGACCTCCAACGCTGGGCCCGCCCCGCGGGGCCGCCTGCTCTCTGAGGTCAGCCAGTGGCGCTGCACCAGCCAAACACTTGGCCCACCGCTCAATCCCCCGCCCAGCCTCGAGGAGACAGTCCCAGAGGAAGCGGGTGAGTGGCTCAGGGCTAGAGCGCACGCTTTGCATGCTCGAGGCCCGTGCACGCGTACACATACAGAACATAAAGTGAAACGAAACGACAGAAACAAAACTTCCTCAGAACTCTGGGCTTCCACCTCACGGGCTCAGGCCGGCTCCCCCACCACACAGTCCCACCAACTGCCCAAAGATCACACAGGTGAGCAGGCACAGTTGCCTAGGCTGGAGAACTCTCTTCGTGGTAGTGGTGGGAAGGAACACCTTGTGTCTGAGATCGGCCCTCCTCAATTTGCTCCTCACAGACACCCCTCCACCCACTCTCCACCAACCTGCTTCCTTAAGCCGAGGAACCTCCACTCAGGTGGATTGGCAGCCACCTGCACTACCCACACACTCACATAACACTCCCTTTCCCAAGGTGGAGGCTTCTGAGGAGGGCCAGCCTCACAGATCCTTCTTTCTTAAGGCCAGAGTTTCCTCCTGTCAGTCTGGGATCTCCCAGCTGTCTGCTTATTTCACACCTCTGCACTCTATACACACTGCAGACACTCCATCCCTCAGCTCCTGAATGAAGGGCCTCCCCCAGCGTAGCTGGACACAGAGGCCCCCTCTAATGGTAACAAGGGCTCCCTCACCTGTGGGTGGGCAATTTACAGTTCACATGTGCTCTCCTATCCTTCATCACACTTGACCCTCTCTCTTCAGCCAAGAGAGGCACCTGCTGTGTGTGTGTGTGTTTGTGTGTGTGTGTTTGTGTGTGTTGCTGGGGATTGAACCCAGGGCCTTGTGCATACTAGGCAAGCACTCTATCAACTGAGCTACACCCCCAGCCTGAGGCAGCTGCTTTTAAGTTCCTTTCACAGATTGGGAAATTGAGGCCCAGTGGGAGCCAAATGCCATTTGTTGACTTTTGTTGTTAACATTATGTTGACAAAGCATAGGTGCTTCAAACAAATATATCTTAATTAACTTTTTCTATCCAACTGAGTTTTTCACAGTCCTTGCTAAACACAGTTAAGGGTTAAGCTAGTAGGAAGAAATCAAGGGCCAAAATTAAGAACCCCTTCTCCAAAGTGCTTCCACTGAACTTCATGGAATGTGAGAAAAATCTTTTTTCCCCCCTGACCTCTCAGAAAGCCTGCTTGCTGCTTCTAAAGTCAGTACCTGCCCCACCCCATGCCCACTCTGTTCCCCAGTGAAGGATCTGGACAGGGAGTGGGAATATAGCACCAATATGGAGGTATGAGGGACAGCAAAACTGAGCTAGAGTCCTTGTGCTTCTCCCTTCCCAGCCTCCCCATTGGAGGGCATGAGGAAAAGGAACTAGGGATCTGTCATCTGCCTTTCTTTTGGAGTACCTATCACTGCCTTTAGGGGTCCTCTGGCCTTCAAAATTGGGGTAAAACTCCAAATGAGCTCCCTTACACCTTGCTTTCTCAGTCTTTTTCTCATCATATAATAAAATCATTACAACTTAATTTTCAGGGCCTTGCTTGATGTCTGTAGGCCAGAAAAAGGTCCTTTGTCTGGTATAGTTATGGCAGGGGGAGGGGGACATGGAGTAGTTCCTGGGAGGCTCTGCTTTCCTGAAAAAGAACTTGTGTGTCTAAGATATCAACACTAGCTCAAGGGGTCTCTCCCTTTGAGAATTCCAGCACTGGGCCAAGCTACAGAGGGGAAGGGAAAGAGCAGCAAATGTTATGCAAATAAGGGTAAAGGAGCTCCCAAGGTAGCATATGGGGAAGAGAAAAGGGTAAAACATACCCAAACCCCTGCCCACATGCTTTATTGAGGTGGACTTTTACTGTCTGTGCAGCTCCCCACCCCCATCCCCAAACTGGGGCTGTTATCTTCCACCTGAATTCCACTGACTCCAGTTGACAGATTCCTTATATTTGCAGGAGAGCTTGGTGTTTTCTAGTATCCCCCACCCCTCACTACTATTTTTCTTTGGGTTCTAAATCCCCTGATCACAATAAGTCTTTGCCTAAGGATAGGAGTATAGCTCAATGTTAGAGCCTGTGCTTAGCAAGCCCAAGCCTTGGGTTAGACCCCTAGCACCAAAAGAAAAAAAAAAAAAACTTTGTCACCTCAAATAAGGCCTAGCCTAAGCCTTTCCTTCAAGGTGAGTAGTTTCAAGCATTCAAGGTTAGTACTCACCTGTCAACCACAATGGCTGGGTCCACAAAGCAGGGAGAGCCAAGTTTGATACAGGACCAAGTTTCTGGGAAAGTCAAGTTCCAGGTAAAGCTAGTTCCAGTTCAGTACTTCTGTAAATAGTTGTAACTACTGAATTCCAAAAGCACTTTAACATTATGTTGACAAAGCATAGGTGCTTCAAACAAACATATCTTAATTAACTTTTTCTATCCAACTGAGTTCTTCACAGTCCTTGCTAAACACAGTTAAGGGTTATCCTAGTAGGAAGAAATGGTGGAGAGCTTTTAAATTGCTCTCTGTGAATCAGAGGTACCTCAAGTCCACTGTAATATGTGGAATGACAGAAGATTATATATAGAGTTATGGGCCTCTCTTCCCTTTGAGCAGATTAAGTTTTATCATTGAAAAATGGATTCTGCTGTTAAAAATTTAGGACAACTTTATAGCAGGGTGTGGTGGTGTATGCCTGTAATCCCAGCACCTCAAGGTCAAGGCAGGAGGATGGCAAGTTTGTGGTCAGTCTCAGCAACTTAGAGATACCCTGTCTCAAACAAAAATTACAAAAGTTGGGGATATAGTTCAATGGTACAGCTCCCCTGGGTTCAATCACTAGTATAAAAAAATTAAAACAATTTTTAAAAATTACTTCTAATCAAGACTTATGCTTCTGGAAAGACCGATTTTATGTATTTTTCTCTGTTCCTTCCTTGAAGAACAGCTTAAAATGCTACGTAGTATATAAAACAAACCCGAGACTCTGAAATGTGTAGAGAAGGCTGACCAGCTAGGGAACTCAGAACTTCAAGAGCGACTCTCCTGAGGTGAGTGCTCTGTGTTTTCTTTTTGCCTCATATATCCTAGAGTTGGTACTAGAGAAGCCAGAAACCCAGAAATACTAATGGTAATAAAAAGCCCAAGAAAATTTTGCTTTCTCTAGCCAAGAACCAGAAAAAGAGCAGCCCAACAAGACTGAAAACTTTCACACAATAGCCACTCTACTCTTGTCACACATTATGGAAGAAACTGGTCCCATTCTCACTCTAGCCAACAAAAGTGAAGTGGAGAGCCTAGATTTCCACCTTCATCTTACTGTGACAAAGCACCTTCCCTCTCCATCATCAGGGTGGCATCACAGAAAGCCATATAGGGAGCCCAGACTTTTATCCCTGACAGTAAGGTGACATCCCTGCCCCTCCCAGCAGACTGGGCATTCTCAGTAGAGGCCTAATAGGGTGCCTGAGCTCCCACCCCCACCAAGCAGTAATGAGGAGTCCCTCAACAGTTGGATGGCAACAGAGGTCCCATGGGAATCTGGACTTCTACTTTGATTTCGCAGTAATGAGGCAGTGCCAGGCTGTCAGAGGAGTCCTGCTACAATCGAAGATTTAAATAAGACCAACAGTATTATTACATATCACTCAAAATGTCTAGGTTTTAATAAATACTCATCATACCAGAATATCTTACTAGAATTGAGAAAATATCAACTTGTAAGAAAAAAAGACAACCAATGCCAACAGTGAAATGACACAGATGTTAGAATTATCTGAAAAGGAACTTAAAGCAGCCATCATAAAAATGCTCCAATGAGTATTTATGAACATGCTTGAAATAGATTAAAAATCAGAAAATTCCAGTAAATAAATAGAAAATATAAATAGAAAAACAAATGGAAATTTTAGAACTGAAAGCTAAAATAACCCAAAAGGAGCCAGCTATGGTGAGGCACCCTTGTAATCCCAGCTACTCAGGAGGTTGAGGCAGGAGGATGGCAAGTTTGAGGCTAGCCTGAGCAACTTAAGGAGACCCTGTCTCAAAATAAAAAATAAACAGGGATGAGGATGTAGCTCAGTGGTAGAGCACCCCTCGGCTCAATCCCTGGTACTGCAAAAATATTTTTAATTAATTCAATAAAATTTAAAAAAGGGGTTGGCGTTATAGCTCAGTGGTAGAACAGTTGCCTAGTATGTGTGAGGTACTGGGTTTGGTCCTCAGCACCACATTAAAAAAAATTAATAGGGGCTGGGGTTATGGCTCAGTGGTAGAGGGCTCGCCTTGCACATGCAAGGCCCTGGGTTTGATCCTCAGCGTCACATAAATAAATAAATAAATAAGATAAAGTTATTTTAAAAAATAATAAATAAAGGTATTATGTCCATCTACAACTAAAAAATATTTAAAAATTTTTAAAAGAAAATAGACTGGAGGGCTCAAGTGGTAGTGTGCTCGCCTGGCATGCACGGGGTGCTGGGTTCAATCCTCAACACCACATAAAAAAATAAAATAAAATAAAGATTGTGTCCACCTAAAACTAAAAAATAAATATTTTTTAAAAAAGAAAATAGACTGGAAAAAATAATAGAAGCCAGGTATGGTGGCATATGCCTGTAATCCTGGTGACTTTAGAGGCTGAGGTAAGAGGACTGGATAGGATAGAATGAGATAGGCTAGGCTAGGCTAGGCTAGGATAGGATAGGGCTGAGGATGTAGCTCAGTGGCAGAGCATTTGCCTAGCATCCACAAAGCCGTGGGTTCAACTCTCAGTTCTGAAAAAATAATTAGTGGTCCCTAAGGGAACTGTGGGACCATGACAAAAGATCTAACATTCATGTTATCACAGTTCTAGAAGGAGAGGAGAAAAAGGTAAGACTGAAAAAGTGTTCAAAGAAATAAAGGCTGAAAACTTCTTGAATTT